CGATCAACAAAAAACGTAAACTTGGGCCTAAAACTGTTGATTGTATTTTCCTTGGTTATGCATTTCACAGCGTTGGTTATAGGTTCTTAATTATAAAATCTGAAGTTCCTGATATGTATGTTGATACAATCATGGAATCTAGAGACGCTACATTCTTTGAGAATGAATTCCCAATGAAGAATACATCTAGTGAAACAAGTCATGAGACTATAATTTCCCATGAACACGAACTGTCTATTCCAATAGATCATGCTGAAGAATCTCATGTACACATCCTTGAGGAGGATGACACTATAGTCACTCGAAAGAGCAAGAGACAGAGGGTTGCAAAATCCTTTGGTGATGACTATTTAGTGTACCTTGTGGAAGACATACCAACCACCATTAGAGAGGCATATTCTTCTCCTGATGCTGACTTGTGGAAGGAAATAGTAAGGAGTGAGATGGATTCTATTATGTCTAATGGAACTTGGGAGGTCGTTGACCGTCCTTATGGTTGTCAACCTATAGGTTGCAAATGGATTTTTAAGAAAAAACTTAGGCCTGATGGTACAATTGAGAGGTACAAGGCAAGGCTTGTGGCCAACGGATATACTCAAAAAGAGGGTGAAGATTTCTTTGACACCTATTCACCAGTTGCTCGATTGACTACAATTCGCACCTTAATTGCCGTGGCTACCTCTTATGGTCTTATCATTCATCAGATGGATGTTAAGACAGCTTTCCTGAATGGAGAGTTAGAAGAGGAGATCTATATGGATCAGCCAGAAGGGTTCATTGCGGATGGTCAAGAGAACAAGGTGTGCAGGTTGTTAAAATCATTATATGGCCTAAAACAAGCACCTAAGCAATGGCATGAAAGGTTTGATAATACTTTAACATCTAACGGTTTCTCTGTGAATGAAGCTGACACATGTGTGTATTATCGATATGGTGGGGGTGAAGCTGTTATGTTGTGCCTATATGTTGATGACATCCTGATCTTTGGATCAAATCTCAATGTGATTAAGGAAGTAAAGAAACTTCTGTCGAGCAATTTTGAAATGAAAGATTTGGGAGAAGCTAATGTTATTTTAAACATCAAGCTTATTAGAGAAGGTGATGGTGGGGTAACTCTGTTACAGTCCCACTATGTGGAAAAGGTATTAAGTCGCTTTGGTTTTAGTGACTGTGATCCTGCTCCCACGCCTTATGATCCTAGCGTGCTATTGAGGAAAAATCGAAGAATAGCAAGGGATCAACTGACATACTCCCAGATCATTGGCTCACTCATGTACCTTGCGAGTGCGACAAGGCCTAACATCTCATATGCTGTGAGCAAGCTGAGCCGGTTTGTGTCAAACCCGGGAGATGATCACTGGCGTGCTCTTGAGAGAGTATTGCGTTATCTGAAAGGTACTATGACATATGGTATTCATTATACTGGACATCCAAAAGTGCTGGAAGGCTATTGTGATGCCAACTGGATTTCTGATGCTGATGAGCTGTATGCCACGAGCGGATATGTGTTTCTGCTTGCAAGTGGCGATGTTTCCTGGAAGTCTTGCAAGCAGACTATCTTAACGAAGTCTACAATGGAAGCAGAACTCACTGCATTGGACACTGCTAGAGCTGAGGTCGAGTGGCTTCGTGATTTCCTGTTGGATTTACCGGTAGTTGAAAAAACGATACCGGCTATCTCAATGAACTGTGACAACCAGACTGTGATTACAAAGGTCAACAGTTCCAGGAATAACATGAAGTCCACAAGGCATGTTAAAAGAAGATTAAAGACTGTCAAAAAGTTGAAAACCTCCGGAGTTATAACGTTGGACTATGTCCACATGTCGAATAATCTGGCAGATCAATTCACTAAGGGACTATCACGAAATGTGATAGAAAGTGCATCGAGAGAGATGGGTATGAGACCCACGTGAAAGTCTACTGTAGTGGTAACCTGCTCTATGTGATCGGAGATCCCGTGAAGTAGAGTGGTGAAACAAGCTATAAGTAGATTGAGAGGAAAGTTCCCTATGAACCTATCTCTGATGCATATCTTTCTTTCTGTAAGGCAGGATGGTGTTTACCTTAATGTATTTCGAGAGTCTTATAAAGATGAGATGTTGCCCTACAGAACATCTTTTGAGAAGTACACCTATATGAGTCAGACTGCTGGTCACAGTCTATGGGACCTGGGTTATCCCTAAACACTCATGAAAGGCATAGAAGTGTGACTTATATGCTTCAAACAGCGGGGATGCTTGTTGCAACCTAGTACCAGCAAAGGACTTGAGTGAATCTCACCTCACACAAAACTGTCAATTCAAGGCATAGTCCATTGTTCAGTTGTGACTGAGTGAAACTCTTGTTCTAGGTGGATGTTCAACTTAACAGTCTTCATCGAAACACTGGTATATCAAAGAATTGTGATTCTGGAACTATACAGTTACAAACCCTAGAGTTTGGTGGGGATTGTTGGATTTATTATGGGCTAGGCCCATTTATATATCTAATAAATTATAACTCTATGGCTTGTAATTGTGGGTATTATTATTTGTACCGGATTGGAAGTTAAAAGGACGTTGACTCAACTTAAATGATTGGAATGGATCTGTCTAATTTAAGAAGTTGAGAAACGGACAAGGGCGTGCCACACGCGTGCGCGCGCCGCCGCCGCCACAGCCGGCCGGGCCGGGCTCAGGCTCGGGCCGGGGCGTGGCAAGGCGAGGCAGGCAGGCGGGCGTGGTGTGTTAATTTTTAGCACCCACTAACTCGACCTGACGCTTGATCTCCCTGAGTCTCTCGATCTTCCCGGCGCATGGCGCATGCCTCCGAGGCTTCTCGGCTTCCCTTGCGATTCTTCTAACTTCAGATAAAAAGAGAGAACATATTCCAGAAACTGGGTTCAGTTGCTCGATAGCTTTCCTCATCTCGTAACTCTGCGCGCACGGAGGAGCGAGAGGGTAGGTGCCTCCGAAGCCCTTGTCGTTCGGGACCTTGCACGGGGGATCGGCAATTAGGTTTTTGGGGAGCGTCTACGCGACTGCCCAAGAGTCTCCTCCGTACGTCGTCTTCTTCCCGATCACCGGCGTCTCCTTTCTCGAGTACAGCAGCATGTCGACTTTGGAATCACGGACGGGAGGGTTTGATCATTTCATCCTCTCTCAGTTTGTTCCATATGTCCAGAATTGCCGTTTTAAGAGATGTCTTATGTCTGTTTCTGTCAAATATATGCTCTGCGTATGTGCTTTATTGTTACAGTCATGTTGCTTCATATGTAGCCTTATGCTTGTTGCAAATATGAGATGTATATTATGCCAGTTTCTCTCTGTTATGATTTATGAATCAAGTTCACATGTTTTTTATTTTTATATGTTTCACATGATACATGATCTAGCATGTATTTTCACCATGGATATAATCGATGTCATGATTTCAATGATTAATATTTCTTTATATGTCATTATCATGTTGTTAAATTATGGAATTAAAATGACATGGAAATTGCCTATTATTCTAACAATCTCATAAGTCTGCCAGTTAGGTAATCAAAATGTCACCAACTTGAGTTAACCAGTTATAAGTGCAAACAAATTGTACAATTAAATGAGTCAACCAATAAAGTTAATACCTTTATTTTGAAATACAATGGATCCAAATTTATCAAAAGTCAAACTACTGGTCTGAATTTATCGAAAATGAAATTATCCTAAATTTACTCACATCTATATAACATCAAGGAGACAACTTATAAAAATGTATTTCATCATCTATCTAACGATCATTATTTGGTGGTATCATAAATGTTATTGTTTTCCTTCTATAAATTTTGCTGAACTCGGTACAGTTCCGCACGTAGGCAAAAGAAAAATATCACATTTCGAGACAGGGGAGTGCAAAATACACGGACAACATTTGATCTGCTGCTTTCAGGAGTGTTCAGCCCGGTGTGGAAGTGGAATCGATAAGAACGAGCCCATAAAGGGACAAGAGTCTCTTCTAGTTAAGGATGGATTCGGATCGGATTGAGACGGATATGGATTCAGATACCACTGTTTACCACATTTTAATTCAAATTCGAATACGAATACGGATACTGTCGAATACTAATGCAAAACGGATATCTCGAATTCGGATTCGAATTCCGATATCCACTTTATTTCGAAGATAACATATATCTATTTGCCTATCGATAGTTTCATAGTATAATAAAATCATTATGGATGAAGGAATTTAATATATAGCTATATAACACTGTTGATAAAGACAACTACCAAAAATATTTTAATAATTAAATATATAAAATATAAGAAAATAAGAGATAATATATTAATTACTAAATTCAAATGAATAAAAATAAATTTTAGAAGTATATAAATAAAATAAAATACTAATTAATATTATTAGCCATATTAGAATTAATTAAACTTTAGATTTATATATCGATAATAATACTAAAATTACATTAGCTATAGATAACTTTTAAATAATGGTACATATCATCTGTTATATTACAATTATTATCATTTACATAGTTAATTAGTCATAATTATAAGATTTAGATGGTTTTAAAATAATTTGTATTTCGCAGAAACGGATAATATCAGATATTTCACATTTTGGTTGGATACGGATATGGAATTGGATAGAGAATAATCTTCAAAAATGAATACGGATACATCCATTTAACATAAATCGAATACGAATACAGATATCCTTTTTAAACTAAAAAGGATATGGATATCGGATGTTTCTGATATCTAGACATCCAGATTCATCCACTTCTAGTGCCGTGGAGAATAGAGATACGGTATCTGAGAAGAAGATGGCTGCATGCAGCTGACCCACTAGTACACCTCTCTGCAATCCGAGTTCAACTATAAAGGCCAGTAATCCTCAACGTACGTCTGGCATGTTGCCTTGCTATCTGTTGGATTTTGGCAACTACATACTGGTTTAGTTTGGTGGTGCAGTGCAACCGTCGTGCGAAAACTGCGTGAGGGAGAGACAGAGCGGACGCCATGGCAGCCGGACTAGTAGTGGAGGAAACTCTGCACATGGTTCCTGGAGACGGAGAGACAAGCTACGCTCGCAACTCCACTATTCAGGTATCCATGTATCTTTTTGAGCGTCTCTTTTTGGTCTAATTATTATGCTATTTGAATCGTCTTGTGTCTGTCATAAAATGTGACCACATGGATCCATCAATTAATTACTGAATTTAACGCGAGAAGAGATGGGCAATGGAGAACTTGATATATCACAGCCCATGGCTCTTTGTTTGTTTCATTTCAGAAAGGACCTTCGCTTATTCTTATTCCTGTCGAAGCCCCCAAATTTAAGAGGACTCTTTGAGATACTGTCAGTTACATTTCATATAGTTTGGAGAACAACTGCACGACTAAAAACAAATTAGTTTTGCAACCACCGAAAACTAGTCGTAAACATCCCGAAAAAATAAAGGAGGCGCACATCCGGACATCTTAAGATGTCGGCTTCCGAATCGATGATTTTTGGAGACGACGGTCATCTTAGCACGTCTGTCTCCATAAATGATTTTCGGAGATGGGCATTTTCCTAGGCCTCCCTAAGCATTTACTGAGGCGGTTGCTAGGTGTGCCTGACTCCGAAAATGATTTGATCATGTGCCCTAAAATCATTTTTCAAGTAGTGCACGACAAGCATCGTGTTGTTCATAGGGGGTCGATGTGCGGACCTCCGGTGGCTTAAGCACTCAAAACACTTAGGAACACGAGAGATTTATCCTGAGCACTACATCCAGCAGTTTCATGCTCTTCGTGTTAGGAATTACTGCGCCAGAACACACGATCACTTCTGGACCATCACGGCCGATTATGGTGGAGCCGATAGTGATCAGGAGATCAATGTTGGTTCAGTGACTTCAACTAGCAGGGATAGCACAACCGGTAGGGATAGGTGAACTATCACTACCAGTTCGTGGCTCTAACTGGCATCGGTAGATATGGTACTATCACTACCAGTTGAAGCCACGAACCGGCAGTCATAGGTCAACCCATCACTGCTAGTGTGTGGCCACGAACCGATAGTGATAGACTGTTTTCCATAAAAAAATCATAATTTTTTCTTATGACATCAGATTAAGATATACTTCATGTCAAAGTTATAGAATTTAAAGAGATATAAAACTTTGTGGTTGACAATTTTTTCATTTGAGATGATTTACACGTTCAAGAGTTCTCATATCAGATTTGAGAAGGTTAGCAATGTCGAATGGAGATGAAGTCAACATCAAATTTGTAACACTCGACGAGATCTGCAACTTTGCAGTTAACAACTTCTTTATTTCAGATTGTTTGAAGTGTCAAATATACAATATAAGATTTAAAATTGTGTAATTAAAAGAACAACATCAGCTATATAGTCACATGTGTTGCATCTTATTATTGCCCGTTGTAGACCCAACAGTGATGAGGGTGTCGATTGTCCGCCGCCGGAGCCAAATCCGACAGTAATAGGGGGTTCTGACCCCGCAGTGATTACGAAATCTGGTGTAGTGAATGCTCAAACCAAAGTTATTACAATGGAGGAATATATATAGAGAGAGAGTTGTAGGGGGTAGCACTATGTTGATTTAGGGTTCTTGGTGAGATCGTCCGATTGGGTCTCGGTCCGATCGTCCCCTTCTACGAGAGCCCATACCTTCCCTTATATAGTGAGGAGGGCATGGGGTAGTACCAAGCGAATGGTTCTTCACCTAGGGCTTCTCGCCTTGGGCTTCGGTCTTCTTCTTCATGGCGCCATCGGTCCTTCTTTGTCTTCTAGCTGGGGGCCGACAAAACCACAACCACTTCCTAACACTTGTGCTGCAGCCTGGTGCTGACCGCTAGGTGCTGTCTGCCGTAGCGGGACCTTCCTCGGGTGAGCCTTCTCCTGGCTTCTTTGACACGCTAGGCTCCCTCTGCCCGTGGGGTTGCCAAGTGGGCCCGGAGTCCCCAACTTCAGGCTCCAATGGTTCCTTGTCCTAGCGCGTCATGCCCCGGGCGTGACCCTACCGAGCGGGTGGCCGACAATGCCTCTTGACTGTGAAATGGGACAGCAGTGTAGTGCTTTTGCACCTGTCGGACTTTGAGCGTCTGACAGATTCCGAAGTTGGCTTCTAGCTTGGCTCGGGATGATTGTTAACTCCGAACGGCCAGGATGGCCGTGCGGGCAGTGGTTTGGTCGAGGCTCCCCATAGGTCAGGATTTTCCGTGTCTTGGCTGAGTCCCCGAGCCCCGAGCAATGGAGACTTTGCCTTTCTCAGGCTCGCCCCTCTGACATGGAAGACGCACCCAATGAGTGTAGCCCCTGACCGCAGCATATTTAGAGAATCAGCCAGGGTTAATCATACTATCGCGTTCTTAATGCGGTTCTGAACAGAACTTGAGGCTACGGACAACATTTCAAAACTAGTAGTAACTGCAAGTCTACTTGCATGCTCGAAACAAGAAGAAAATCTGATCGGGGGAATAACATATTTGGTACAAGTAGTTTGGAAGTATAGGGGCCTCCTAATGATGATTAATAAATATTTTTCTAGATAAAAAAAATTGTCAATTTGAAAACTAGAGCATATGTGTTTTCCGTTGATAGTTGTAGAAATATTATTTCCTTCTATCCAGATTACTAATGTGAGAATTTTCCATGCATCTACTATCTAGAGTGGGCTGCAAAGCAAGCTAAAGCCAATGATAGAAGAAGCCGTGGCAAGCCTGCTCAAGGACGATGGTGCCACTGCCAACGCATACTGCGGTGGCATGGCGATCGCCGACCTGGGCTGTTCGTCCGGTCCAAACACGCTTGTGCTCGTGTCCACAGCCGTCGACGCCGTCCGCCGCCGCTGCTCGGAGCTCCAGCAGCAGCCACCGGAGCTCTGCATACACCTCAGCGACCTCCCAAGCAACGACTTCAACTTGGTCATCAAGAACCTGGCCACGTACATAAAAACCCAGGAAACCTTCAGTCCTCCTGTCTTGACCAGCATCGTTCCCGGCTCATTTCACGGGCGGCTCTTCAACAAGCGTAGCCTCCATCTAGTCTGCTCCACCGCTAGCTTGCACTGGCTCTCAAAGGTCAGTATGAGACCAACTGGATCAAGTTAAGCTCTCTATGTTAATATAGCTAGTACTCCCTCCATTCTAAAATTATAAGACGTTTTGGTTTTTCTAGATTGTGTTAGCCGAAAAATAAACATAAACATTAACAGGCACCTGAAGACCTGGTGAGGAACGGAATCCCGTTTTATGACAGGGACGAGGCGGTGAGGCGTGCTCGACGTTCCACAGTCACCAAGGCCTATGCTCGGCAGTTTAACGATGATTTCACACGGATCTTGCATCTGCGAGCTCAAGAGATGGTTCCCGGAGGCCGGATGGTTTTCTCCCTTCTTGGACAGCGTTCTGATGATGATAAGCCGGAGAGTGCCATTCTGTTTTTGGAATTCACAAATGCCATCCTACACGAAATGGCGTCAAAGGTACTGTATATGTCAACCATCACGTACGCATATGCAGTTACTAGATATATATTAGTACATAAATATTTGGTGGTGATTATTAACAGGGTTTGATCGATAATGAGAAACTTGGCTCTTTCTACATACCATTGTACGGGCCGTCAGAGAAGGAGCTGAGGGTTCATTTTCAATCGACAAGATGGCTGTCCATGAATCTCTTGATCAGAATGTCATTCTCGCGCCAGAGACAGCGGCGCGCGCAGTTAGAGCTGTAATGGAGCCAATCATAACGCAGCATTTCCACCCATCTGCAGATGCTATGGACGAGTTCTTAAGGATCACGGAGAAGTTCATCAAGATGTCGCCTCTAGATGAGTTCTCTCCAAGTAAATCCAGCGCTTTCGTTGCTGCGTCCCTCACGAGGAGGACATGATCGACCGCACCGTTTGTTTACAGTGAACAAGAGTTGCAAACTTGCGTATATGTATGTTTGGTAAATCACAGGATTACATGCATGTATAAACTATAATAATGAAATGTTTTGTGGGACAAATTTTAATTAAATCCTGGTGATATAATATCCGGTGTGTTGATCGACTTAGCTTTACGTGCTCAAGTGATATGTTTGAATGTTTCCATGTAATTACTTAGCTTAGGTACTCAAGTGAAATCCAAAGTTTCTAGACATAGTGCATGCAAAAGACGTGCAAATATAATCTTAAGCATGCGATTTGTTAAGAAGTTTAGATTTCACTTGAGTGCGTATGTTGAGAATTACATGGAAAAAGAATGATTTTTGGTAGATGTTTTTTTTATTTTTAGAATACATTTTAGGGCTAAATAGCTTAACTGAAAAGTCAAACATACTACTATGAGAAGAATTTTATTTACAAAACTATAAAGCCTATGATGCTTACAACCAAAATGGATCGTGCTTAGTTTTTAGCATTTATATTTAAAAATTATATTTCTAAAGACTTGTGGGTTCTTCATTTTAGATCGACAAATTTATTAAAAAGCAGTGTAAAAGCTTTGAATGTTTTCTTGGGGAGTATGACTTTCAGGTATTCTGAAACGATTTTCATTAAAAAATAATTTTCCCGTGGATAATTTTTGTAAACTTCATTTTCCCAGTGGATTATTTTAAAAAGTAGTTCCACAAGAAAACGACAATGTTTTTTTTCTGAAATTTAGCAGATACAAGGGATATTTTTAAAAAAATTACGAAAATGTATTAAAAAAAAAGACCTCTTCGGAATCTAGTGTTCGAAGCCATGATTGGATTAACCCTTGTTTTTAACTGCTAGTGCTGGTAAAGCTACTCTCCATGGAGAGATCATTAACATCTAGGAGACAAAGCTTGGGCCTCTTATCCAAATGTGTCATCACCTTTAGGAACTAAAGGAAAGGGTCCGAGCTCTATCGAGAAATGGGAGAAATAAAAAAATAAAGCTAGTAAAGAACCCTATAGTATGTTTCAGGCACAAGGCAGGTAGTCTGTGTTAAGTAAAATGTTTGATAAATGGATTTTGGCAATGGGCGAGCTGAAGACAACTGCCTCGGTCGCAATAAGGACCGTATGTAATATTCCATGAGAATTTGTCATTACTTTCTTCTTTTGTGCATGATGTTCGTAACCAAATAGATTAGACCTAGTGCGAACTTGTTTCCAAACTAAGTCTCATCACATGATTAAATATGCATAGTTTAGAGAGGCCAGCTCCTTCGGTGTCCGTTGAGTCACGAGTGTCGAACAGGCCATCAGGGAACAGCATCAGGGAACAGCCGAACAGGCAAACAGGAGTTTGTTTAATATAATTTAAAATCTAACTGTGGGGATCTCTCCTACAGTTTTTTTGCATAAAAAATAGGAGCAGGTTAGGGAGGAGCGCTAGCTACCATATCTAGAGCCGACGCAATATCAGGCCGTCATTTATACGAGCCTGTACTGACTTGGGCCTCACACCACTCATACTGACTCAAGTCGGCCCAAAGCCATTTACATGTAGCCCACAACGGGCTAACAGAACACAACAGTACATCACCAATGTCTTCAACCCTGAACGCCACCGTTAAGGATGAAAACGGAACGGAAATATCCCAAACCGAATCGCATCGTTTTCTATATTTAATCCGATCGAATCCGTATTTTCTTGTCCGACTTTACCATTTTCGCTTTCGCATTTGAGATGTTTCGTATTTCAAATGTAAAAGTAGAAAACGGTTTACATATTTTTCGACCGTTTTCTACTTTTCTATTTTTAATTTGAAATATTCCGAATTCAAATTCGGTTTAAACCGAATTTGGCCAATCGCTGCACACAGTCCTCTGCCCAATTAATTAAAGTCTGCTCACCACGCATTATGCGTTCTTTTCATTGGTGGCTAGCTGCCCTCTCTTATAGACGGTGTCCAGCCTCATCTCTCTTATTATGTATTTGGTCGTGCACTTGTTTAATGCTATGCACTTGTTAGTTGTAAACTTGTTATGTATTTGGTCGTGCACTTGTTTAATGCTATGCACTGTGGGTCGGTATTTCGTATTGAATTTTCGCATACCGACCGTGTTCGACATAATTTCGCTCGAATTGGTTCGTTTCCGAAATTCTAGATATTCCGTAAGTTCGTATTCGTTTTCGTGTCCGGCTTGTCCGCTTTCGTTTTCGCTTTCGTATTTCAAATATAAAAATAGAAAACGGTTGAGGAGTTTTTCGACCGAGTTCGACCGTTTTCATCCTTAGCCACCATAATATATACCGGAAGGGAATTACTAGCGTCCGGACATTCGGAGCAGATGAGCGTGTCTGGGCGCCCCGTGTTGCTGCCCCAGCACGCCCGCCCATGCATACCGCTGGGTATCGTTGCTACACGTGCACATCCGTCCCCTGTCTTCCTCGTCCCGCCTCACACGCGTAACCCGCTACCTTCCGCCTCGCCTCACCCCACACCCACACCCTGGCGGTGCCCGCCACTCCTTCCCCCTGACACTCCCCTCCCCTCCTCTCTCCGTGCGGGCGAGACCCGAGAGCCCGGATGAGGACAAGCACACCCCGTCCGCAGGACCCCAGGCGCGTCGTGCGCCCCATCCGCTGGCCCTGGCTCGCCGTGCCCCTTCCCCAGCACCTAGGCCGTGCCCCCATGACTCTCTGAACATACCTCCGAAACACGAAACACTTGCAACATGAAACTCTTGAAAACAACATAAGTCTGAAGCATATGAAACATTTGAAACATACACTTGCAACATATGTGTGAAACATATGCAACATCCAGATAAAAAACTGGCAACATGAAATACTTACTGCAACATAAGAATGAAACGGCTGAAATATTTGGAACATACTCTTGCAACATGTGTGAAACATATACAACATCCAGATCAAAACGCTTGCAACATACGTTTGAAACAGATAAAACACTTTGAACAAACGCTTGCAACATACCTCTAAAACACTTGCAACATATGCAACATCTTAATCTACTTTTGCAACATCCATATTAAACACTTGCAACATACCTCTGAAACACTTGAACATACGTTTGCAACGTGCGCTTTAGCCCAACATCTCCTTGCTGCTTGGGAATGGAGGCTCGTTGGCGCATGGAGTTCATCGATGTAGAGCTCGCCGGTGGCGCGAAGCTCGCTGCTCCGGTGGAGAAGGCTGTGGCAGGTCTCGTGAAGAAGGCCGCGGTGGGTCCGTGCACTGGAGAAGCCCGCGGTGGGCGGGAGGCGCGGTGGAGAGAAAGGAAGATGTGCTGCATGCCGTGCTCTGGCACGGAGATGCCGACATGCGGAGCTGAGGCGAGATGGAGAGGGAGGCGCGGTGGAGAGAGAAGCACGGTGGAGAGCACCGTCAACGAGGCGGCACGGTGGACCGTGGCCATAGAGAGGTGTCGCGGCGCTGCGGTCAGGTGAGTGTTTTTTTTGAACGGTTGGATGAGCAGATAAAATGCGGTTGTTGGGCTACATCGTGGCCCACCATCGGCACCGTCTGGGCGGACGGACGCCCTACACCCAGCATCACCGATACCGGAATGTCGCGAGTCTTTAAAAAAAAGACATCAGGATACAAGAAAATTTGGACTTGAGTCATACACCAAATTAGATAATGGCCAATCCAATAACTGAGCCAATACATTACAAGGTGAAACAAACATGACCAAACGGTGCTGCCGATATATAGATCGGCAAAACTTCCGTGCTCATTCATCCTAAAATGATGTACATGTATGTCATATATGTATACTGATGGAACCAATCACATGACACACACAAAGATCATTACACAACCCAAGCCTTGTCCGAAGATGGAAAGAAGAGAGAAGCGGGGGCAGGGGGGTCTCGAATATTGGTGTCAGTAAACTACAGCTCTGCACATCATCAGCTTCCAGAGGTGTTACCGGTCCTTCCAGGAGATCGATACCACGCTTGGATTCAGTCGCCACACCCTTTGCTTAAGGAGGACAAAAAAATAGAGTTCCCTGGAACTGTATATAAAAGAAAATGTATCACTTCTGTGCACAAAAATGGATACACAAAAACAACAAGGACACTGTTATTACTTGTAGGTGGCGAGGGTAGATCCTGCGGTAGTGAAGTATGAAGCAAGATCTATATGCAGGTCATCATACATGCTCAGGAATGGATGATTCTGCATCGAAGACAACGGGAAGGGAAGGGTAAGATAAGTGGTTTAGTCTTGCAGACCATTCCTGAAATGACTATGAAGATGTGAAGCTGTTTTTTTTTGGCTTACCAATAAGGCTTGTGCTGATGACCTATCATTAGCATCCTTGGAGACTGAAAATCACAATGAAAACATATGCATCAGATAGTAACCTTCTCTGGACAGATTACAGAGCTGGACAAATCCACAGATAGAGAATACCAAGACACAGCAATTATAGATGGAAACATATGATCCAAACTTTCTTGGTGTTACCTTCTACATGCTTTTCTGTGCATATGTAATATACAAAGCAGGCATATTTTGACGAGCAATAAAACCATGAACAAGAAA